TAGTATGCATTTAGTTTATACAATATAGTATAAAAATGTATGTATATAATTTTTGTATGTACATGTCACTTTACATGAGAATTTTTAATATTTTGTTTATTAATTAGATAGTCATTTTTTATATTAATTTTTGCATAATAGCCTCACGAGCATAACATGACACTTACATAATCGAGTTAATGGTAATACCCTTTTAATTTAAAATTATTTTGAGTGGCTTGTCTTAATTCATTAGAGAGCTATTTTTGATAATTTTAAATTAAAAGTGTATCCCATCAGTATCACTTAAAAAATTGATTTGTCACTTTAAAATTTGGGAACGAAAGAAAAAGAAATGTTCGACTATTTAAATTTGTCGAGAAAAAGTTATTAGAATTCATCTAAGATATGGTCTCGATATTTTAAATAATCAAATATTATCTTTCTATTGGCTTGGTAATTTTAATTTAATCTATTTTGGTGTTTTTGAATATTATAAAATTTACATTTTTTTATTGTTATACGGGATTAAAAATTAAATTAAACTCATTTGTAAATTTCATTGCAAAGATATTAATTAATCGATTAGGTACCGATTTAGGGTGCTATGGGAGTGTTAATCTTTCTTTACACGTAACCGACTCGCGAACTTATTTTTGGTAATGCAGACCTCAACTTATCGTTTTAATTCAAATTAATTTTTATTTAAAATAGAAAAACGTGTTTGAATGCTCAATTACACATTAATCAAAAATTGATAGTGACTTCTTAAACCGTACCTTTTATTTTAAAAAAGAATCCTAAATTTTTCAAAAAAATAGATTTTTTTTAATCGTATTTACTTTTTAATTAAAAGTTAATCATAATAAAAAATTAAAAATGATGTAATTTTTAAAATCTCATTTTAAAAAAAAACGTTTCCACATTATCATAGCACCAGTTAAAACTATGAAATACAAAACTACTACCAACAGAAAAGACAGACGTCACATCCTTCATAAACAACAAGATAGACAAAGGTCTACTTCCATCATCTAAGTAAAAATTTAAATAATCCAATTTCAAAGATGATAGAGGAGCACTTTTACCTATAATAGTACCTACTCCATACTCTTTCCTCCAGTTCAGCATATCTTCCCAAATCTGCATGGTTTCATCAAGGTCAAGCTTCCTTGCTTTCAAAAACCTGCAAAAACAAGTTCCAGATTTTTTAAATGAATGAACATAGTTGAATGGAGGCTCTTGAACATACGCTTTTTATTTTTTGTATTTTTTTAATTTTTTGGGGGGTGGGAGTTATAAGTTGGAATAAGTATTTTATTCTCAAAAATATAATTTAAAGTGGAGCTCAGTTTCCACTTCCATGTCTACTAGTTATGGAAGTCTACTCCAGTGTAGTGGGAGGTCACCAGCTCAACAAGCAGACTTCAGTTATGCATCACTGCAACCCATGTTTTGAATGAAAACCGGACCGGCCGGTTCAATCGGGAACCGCTATCAGATCCGGTTCATTCTAATTCGGTTAAACCGTTATTAGTGAACCTCAAGGAACCGTTGAACCGACTGTGAACCATTTGAACCAGACCAGACCGGAACTGCTAAAAACCGGCCATCAATAAAAAATTAAAAAAAGTTAAAATTTTTATTTTGAAGGTTAATCAACTTTTGTTTTGCTTTTAATGTGTAATGTTTGAAGATTTTTATTAGAAGTAAATCAAGTAATAAATGATAGAATTTTGATGTTGTATTTAATTATTATAGTTGTGGGGATGTTTTTAGTTTTTTATTAAATGTTTTTAGTATTTTTATTTAATTTTTTAAATAATTATGACGTCGTTCGATTCTTCCGACCGATTCGATCGTTTGAACCAGTAAATCAGTAAAACGGCTAGTTCTCTGACCGGTCCGGTTCTAAAAACCATGCAAACCAGCAGACGACGTTATACACGATGTTCAAAGTTCAAAACTCTAAGAATGAGTCTACTCAGGTCTTCTGAGTTAGAAAGTAGATTTTTAAATAATTCATTTGTATAAAGAAATACAACTCTTTAATCCAAGCTCCTAAGAATTTGATATGAAAAATAGAACACGGCCCAAAACTCAACAAAGGGAGCAGTTGCAGTTCAATAAATGAGTCAACTGAAGATGGTTTGATATGTTACACCATGATACCACCATTCTAAGTAGACAAGAAACATTTCTGACATATGCCATGCTTAAATAGACAATCCAAATATTGCTTTCTATATTGCATATGCTGAAATTTCTAAGTGGAGTTATTCGCTTTGGGTTTTTGTCTTCTTATATTCAGTTGAGCCCTTCATCCATTACCAATTGTTTTTAGATTACATCTAAACATTGTACAAGACAAGCCTAACCCCATGTAAAGATCGCAAGGCTCAATATAGGGGTAAACGTTCTATCTATAAAAAATTTCTGAGTTATTTGAGTTAACTAGTCTAATTTTATAACTCAAATTTTACTTGAAATTTTTTCAAATTGAGTTAATTTATTTGAGTTTTTGTTTAAACTTAATTATAAATATTTATAATATTATAGTATTATTTGATTCTAATTTAAATGATTTTTTATAATCATGTATAATACATATATATTTATTCATATTTTTTTAAATATAATATACATATATCATGCAGAATCGAGAAATTCGATTCAAACTTAAAAATTAATCTGTTAATTACTAAAAATTTTGAGTTATTCGAATTACTATTTAAGTTATTTGAGTTGTATATGGGCGGAGACGGAAAGGTCTATACTTTGGCGGAGGTTTTCCAGCACAACCATGCTAAAGACTGTTGGCTTGTCAATTGAGGGCAAGGTACCTTTTTGTTCTCTTTCTTCTTTTGTTGCTACAGATTTCTTGGATGATCCTGTTTCAGTCTGGGTTTGTTTTTCTTTTCTGAAGTTGCAAGTTTTGACTTTTTTTCTAGCGTTGTTGGATTTATTTTCTTGTCTGTTCCATTTTTGTTTATTTTGATGATGAGAAAATTTTGAATTTTCTGGATTGATAACATAGATTCGATATAAATCTTTAGTTTCTAGGCCAATATTTTGCTTGGATCTTACATATTCTCTTGTGATCCTTATGATTGCTAAAGCTGGATGCAAGTATAGACCCCGTGCGTCTCAGTTCACTGGATTTCTTAATTATTACCTTAATCTGGCTTGATGGTTTAACAGATGTTTTTCTGCTTTGTTTCCCTTAAGATTTAGTATAGCCCTTGAATGAATCCTGCATGATGGACATTTTTTATATAACAACCGGTGTTCGATCTATTAATCTATTAATCCGGATTAAGTACCGCAGAGGTAAGATTTACCCTCCAAATCCAGTTTGCTCCGTTCGTAAATGTAGTATTCAAACCTCAGAGCTTTTGCTTAAGGGATTTGATGTCTAGTCCCACTAGACTAACCGGTTAGTGGTTGCATAATGGATTCTCTTTTTAGTTAGTAGTAAGGTTCATTAAGAGAGAGAGATAGATCGGCTGTTATGTGTATTTGGTATCATATTCACTGCATTTGTAGATGTCTTTCGGATGAGAGTCACTTTAATCAGTTATATTATCATCATTCTAAAGATGTCACTGGAAAATTTCATTAACTTTTGTTGTGGTTTCTTTCATGAATCTCAAGAGGGTGTTACGGGCAATTTTTTTTATGTCGCTGAAGCCGGTTTGATCTTCTTGTCACACGAAGCATGGTTTAGATTTGGATATGAGTCTTCCAATTAATTTGATCGCTGAATTCTACTCTAGAGGGCTAAAACTACTTATATTTATTTCTATTTGGCACCATTTTAGGCCCCTAAAGCTCCTTATGCTTGAACAGGTTTACAATGTGACTAAATTCTTGGAGGATCACCCTGGTGGTGATGAGGTCTTATTGTCCGCAAATGGTTAATAAATCCCACCAAAATTTCCACATATTTTGTATGATTCAATGTTGGAATTGCCGTGGAAAATGTTGAAAAGAATGTTAATAACCTTGGTTTGATGTTTGGCTGAGCCTGGCAGGGAAAGATGCAAGTGATGATTTTGAGGATGTTGGTCATAGTAGCAGTGCTCGAGCAATGATGGACGAGTTTTATGTGGGCGACATCGATACATCAACCATCCCAACTAAGACCAAGTACTCCCCACCCAAGCAGCCACACGATGAGCAGGACAAGACCCCAGATTTTGTTATCAAGCTTCTCCAATTCCTTGATCCCTTGCTGATCTTGGGATTGGCCTTTGGTGTCCATTTCTATACCAAATCATCCGCTTAAGCATCGAGAGCGTAACCTAAGATTGAAAGAAAAAGAAATTCACAATATGATTATGTTAATTAAAAGTTTGTTTGGAATTGTCACATATTATGGGATGGTCGAACTTCGATATTACAATATTTGCTCGTTCCCCATTTTCTCTGTAATATCTACCCCTGTTCTTCTTCTCCAATAATGTTATGTACTTCAGTCCATTGATTTATGAGCTAAATTTAGGTCAAAATGCTACTTGTTGATGTCTAAAAGTAGTATTGGTTCCCTTCAAAATCATCAATATTGAATCAAATGCAGCATGAAATTACATGAACAATCAATGCACAAATTCATAAACAATTTGTTGATTCTTGAGGAACCAAGTAAATGCTTTACTAGTTCAAAGCAATAGTCTGAATTTGACGAGATGATTATTCCAAAGGCCAAATCTTTTCTAGATGTGAAGAATAAAAAGTAGCAATTTCCCTCTTTTAACAGCACTGTCTGAATCTGGTAACCCTCAGATTGATTAATGCTACACGTCAAAGTATTCCCTTAGATGTTCACGCATCTTTACCTTTTTATAGATCATGGTGTACAAGCAAACACCATGTCAAATTCTTAGTAACTAGAATTTTCATCTCTCCAAAGTACCTTCCTCGATTTCATCGCCATTTAGATTCTAGTCACCGTATGACGGTATAAGAAGTAAGAACAAACAAGGACCTGCAGTGTATTCCCTCTTCCTTGCCTCTTTTGTTTTTCGGAGTTTTTTGTTGATGAAGAGCAAAACATGAGGGCCATAGAAGCAGAGAAAGGCATACTGAAATTGGTTCATACGGGACGGCATGTAGAGACTCGCACCGAACCTATTATCGCTTCAGAGGTGTTGAAGAGGAACCCCAGACACAGTGTTACTCGACCGGATGTGTTCGAGTATCCGTGGATTGTGGTTAGACCCGAGTCTGTGTTGAAACTAGGGAGAGTCTTTTACATTGTTCCTAACCTTGCAATCTATAAACTGATAATACAGAAAGGATACAACGTCCAATCCTCCTTGGAGCAAAAGAAACCACCCAAAAGTTACGTTCACTGGCAACTGCCCGAATTGGACTCGCCGAGCAAGTCGTCTGCTGGTACAACACCAATGCACCAAGACCATTGCCAATCAGACTGGCAACAGTTTAAAGCTAGTTGCGAAGACGGAAATCTCCAGGAACAAGCTTCCGGTGACAGATTCAATCGGTCTTCACAGTTTGAATCCCTTGCTGATATGATGGCCAAGTTCCGGAACAGTTACAAAGAGTTTAAAGAGATATCAATAACAAATTGTACATCTGAAACTGAACCTATGGGTAGAAAACCGAACCGTTTCCGTGGGGTTGGCAATAGTAAAACCAAAGCCTCGAAACAAGATCAAGCTTCTGGTAATGAATGTGAGAAACAAATTGCTACTATTTTGAAACCTTGCTCAAGGAAACATGACAGTGACCGAAAGTTGCTTCATCTGAAAGTTTCCTTTTCCTTGTCTACTAATTATGAGGAAAGGAGAAGAAAAGTTGCATTGTCTAGAGCAGAATTTCCAGGTCTTTTTACTTATTGAACTATGTAGATCAATAGAGTTCTCCAAGAATAATAAAAATAAAACCCCAAAAATCTTCTAAAATTTTGTTCAATGTAGCTTGCTTTGCCCTTGATTATGATACTTTGTGTGTTTATTCAATATATTCTTAGGAACTTGAGGACTCATTGCACAAAAATAACAAAGCTGCTGAAAACTAATGTGATGTAACTCAAAACATCACAACTCATTTACAGTGTCGCCAAAAGAAAAGAAAAGAAAAGTGAAAAAACATTGACATAAAAGGTTGCCAAAATCATGGCCTTAACAGATACATGCATGTCATTTTAAGTTACCTAATCGGTGCTTGCACATGTCCCCTCAATCACCTTAGAATCCGTTCTGTAGGATTGCCTCAATGGCGAACTTGATCCTCTCGAAGAGCTATGTCCAAAGAAGCTTAGTTTACCGATTTTCTTTGAGAAGGAACTCATAAATTTACGAGAACTAGACTTCGACATATCTCTCTTCATACAAACATGTTCTTTCTCTAGATCATTTAATCTCATCCGCATCCGAGCGAGCTCGAGTTTTAGTTCCCGGTTTTCTCGCCTCAAAGATGCATAGTTGTCTTTCGGAGACATTGCTGCACTGAGTGCACCACTGCTGATCTGCCACGATTGGTGATGAACCGGCTTGTGGTCATCATCGGGATAAGAGCAGCTCAAAGCGTTTCGCAGCCTTAATTGCTCGAAATAAAGAACTTGGACTATAGATTGGAGGGGAAGTCGTTCGTTTTGTGCAGCATGTGCACCGGCTTCTTGTGAAAGCTTTTGGAAATCAATCAATTTGCTGAGCTTCTTCTTGTCTGCATCTGCTAAACCTTGATGAGCCTGAAAAATTCATTCATTAGAAAGTTTATCAAGAATTTTGGTGGTTATAAAATGAAGATATTAGCGTACATACCTTCAGGTAAATATCAATGGCTCGATATAGCCCGTCATGGATCGTCCGGGCGTGCGTAGGTAAAGTCTCTGCAATGGCTATGAACTTTGCAAGCTTGAGGTTTGCATCAGGAGCAATTTCTGCAAGATAATTATCCACTAACTTCGAAACTTTGAACAATGCACTTTGCGATGGTGAATGAGGACTATCCGATTCGAAAACAGACACATCGTCCATATCATCTTCACTATCATCTTGCTGAGAAAAATTTACCAGCATTCTTTGAACTGTATCAACATCGAATAAGGTGTCACCCGCATGCCGAAAAGACGGGATCAGAAGGTCGTCAAGAGTTGCAATATCCAATTGGGAACCAATCCTCCGCTCTAGATCAAGCCTACAAGCAATACTACAATCAAGCATCACTGCACTTCTAAGAAGTCCGAAAAGGAAACTAATAGGAACAGCAAGTTTCTCGACAGGTAAAAGGCTCACGATCGTTTCAACCACTACACATTCGTGCTCCGTCGAAAGGAAATCGATTTTTGTCTGTCCTGATGGATTCCACAAACTGGATTTCTTGGTCAGCTCCTTCTGTGCATAGTTTATAAGCGATGCACCGATGCTCTCGGGACGGACACCGTGACATTTCATGGCTGTCACGACTCTTTGGTACAAATCAATCCTAATAACCGAAAGATCTTCTATCCACCAGTCTCCCTCACATTTGGCTTTCTTGTTCATATGAAGTCTCCCTGAACTACTGTATTCTAAGCGCGAGAAGCTCGATGCTATCTGCTCCGCACAAGCCTTTGAAGCTATGGAATCAATGCATCGGCTAATTATTTTCAGCTCATCCGCAAGAGGGAGTAGGAGTTCACATTGCTGTAAAACTTCAACACACATCTCCAGGTTCTTGCAAACGATACTCTCGAGATACTCTTCAGCTCTCGAGCTGAGATTATCCTTTGAGAACTCCTCGGTCATTTCAAGGTACTCGGAGACGCAACAGAGCTGAGCCACATTTGAAGATGTAATTGCAAAGTTAATGCCATAGCAGAATTTAGCTGCCAACTCGAATGTCTCGGCACCGCCAGGTAAATTCAGAAGCTCCACCCTCGAGAAATCCGAATCCCTATGTCCCGCAACTATCTTCCTGATTCGTCCACTCCGAGAGACAAGAGGAAACTGCATATAACAACTACAGATATCAGCACAAGAATATCCCAAGTACCAACATTAATCTGCACGTGAAAAAACATGCCATTTTACTTCACGGGCAACCATTGCCTAATGTTTAACATATTGAAGAACATATATGGCCAAGCAATTCATGGCAGAACATGTAGACAAAATAGCTTCATTCAGAAACAGGAAAACAAAGAGAAAGAAAAAGAAATTTCAGATCTGTAGAAGGCTAAGAAAGTTTTTAAAGCAAATAACCAACTATAAAATTCAATTTAAATCAAAATAAAATATATGAATAAATTTTGAAAAGTAAAGAAACAAATTACCTTGTGTAGAGAAAAAGTCCTTCCATTTACTTCTATTGTGATATCAGTTTTAACATCCCGGAAAATCCTACAATAAAAGAAACAGCAATTTGAATATGCAGGAAAAGAAGAAGAAGGAAGAGATCATCTATGAATATTCCCATGTAACTTTTCACATTTCAATGATACAAAAGATCTCAACGTCCAAGACATGGTAGCTGAGGGACTGAAACACAAACAAAGAATAATCATAAATAGCTGGAAACATGGTAATTCTTTACATAAAAAACGAGCAGAGAAAATATTCTAAGTGAAAACATACTTATTTCAAAGCATCAATCAGACAAGATAAGTGAGAGAAAAACCATGCAACATAAAAAGCAACAAAAGAGCCTGAAACTTGAAGCAAACAATATGAAAGAGAAACTTTGCATCAGTGAAACAAAATGAGGAACAGGGTAGTTGCAGTAATTTAAATCTATGAAAAAAAAGATCAAAGCTTTGAAAAAACACACACACGTCAAACAAACCATGAACTACTAACAATGCTAGAATCAAACATGTACCATTCATTGCAACGCTGCCTGGAATTTTTTATCAGAGACAGCTGATGGCGATGATGATTCTGCTGCTTGTCCATTGACAAAGACACTGAATGAACTCGGGAGAGAAAAAAATAAACATTAAACGCTGAGAAAGAGAGGGAGAGAAAAGTGTGGGTTTAATTGAGAAAGACAAGGACAGAGTCCCAGTTGTAGATGTATCTTGTTGCTTAACTCCTTCGGCCATTTTTGTCAAACTTCTGATCTTCAAACCATAGATTGCTACTGTCCAAACCAATGGGGCCTTTTTGTTGGGTCATCCTTTTTAACATCCTCCCCTTTTAATCTTAACAATGGCCTCCATTGTACTTGGGGGTAATAAGTAATATTATTTAACCAACAATGGGTTGGTCTAGCACGATAAGATATTAGATCTCTTAAGTATGGTTAAGTATTCAAATCCTGACGGCTATGAATAGAATAAACTGTGTTGGAAGGATGTTCTTACCTATGCAGTATTCAATCTATATTAATTGATCAATAAACTAAATACCAATAGTTATACCAAAAAAATAAATAATAATATTTTTCTAAAAGTCTTTGGATAAAGACGAATAACTATGTGTATAAAATAAATACATTTATTATCAATTAGTTAATAAAATTCTTAACATATACTATATTATAAACATCTTATACTAATAATATAAAACAATGGTCTCTAGTTAGAAAAACATGAACAAAGCAGCTAAGAAAGGAGCTATAATCTTCGGACATCTTTTTTTCCTTGTCTCTTTCTCCAAAAAGCATAAAATAAAGGTAAAAAAAGGCATATCTTTTCTGATATTGCCCATCCCAAGTTTTAGCTTGTAAGCAATCTTTTGGATATTTACATTTTCACCCCCATCATGTGATGAGAATTCCATTATACCCCAATCTTTCCTAATATTTTTAGTTTCCGTTTTCATTAATTATCCCAAGTTGGAACAAAAAGGCCAACCACCTGCTTTTAAAGGCACTTCACCACAATCGTATATATATATATATTAAATTATTGAAACCAATATATATTATGGTCTATGAATTAAATTGGGGTCCAAAAAGATGTCCTATCTAAAAAAATTGATTATCAACACCCACAAATCCAAAGGATATGATTGCCTTTTTGCAAAGGGGAAAGCATGAACAATATTCCTTTGGTAATTGACCATTCATTAAAAGAAAGGAAAAACCTTGTATGAGAGACAAAATTGATGGTGTTTGACCTAATTTTGATTGCTAAAAGTTGGGATATTTTCTAGGGTTTTCTTCACCACTACTTGGGTCATTACTAGTCGGAACATTCACAAAATGATTAATGAAGAACTCTCCTTATATACCATTTTCTCCTAGTAGGAATATTCATTGCATTCCTTATGAGATATTGTTTATTTCTAAAATTTAAAGTTCATTTTCACTGCGGGACAAAAAAGCAAGAAAGAAAGAAAGAAAGAAAATAGCGTACTTGAAAAAAAAATAGAGTTAATTTGAGATTATTTAGAGATATATAGAGATGACTATCCAGCTCAGTTGGTAGAGCACAAGGTTCTTAATTTTGAAGTCGTGAGATCAAGTCCCACGGAGGACATTTTATAATTCGGAGATCTTCTACGGAAACTGCTTTTAACCTGGTGTTGGGCCATACCAATAAGGTAAGGTTATTGTCCCTTTCCAACGACTTTACATTATTATTATTTAATTTAAAGGAAATTCATCGTATATTTCCCGCTAGTTTTCTTAAATAGAGGGAATTTATGCATGTAAAGAAAAATTCTATTGAATACAAGACCATCGCATTTTTTCCTCTGGTTTTCTTAAATAGAGGAAATTTTTGCACGTTGTAATACTTGATTTTTGTTCAGTTTGTCTTTTTTAAAAAATAAAATAAAATATATTATTGAAATCGATTTTAAAGTTTAAAACATTAGTCGACTTGCAACAAATTTTCAAACAATATTCAAATATTTTCAAGACATGATGTATTTTTGAGATAGAACTGACATTCAATTAACTTTTCAACTCATTTTGAAATTCATCAGTTGGACACTGGAAACTTAATATATGTTCATTTTAACGAAAATAATACATGCATAAAATTAAATACGTGTCCACTATGAAAATTTTAATTTAATCTGAATTTTTAATTATTTTATTGATTATTTGTGAATAAATTTAATTTTATACTTTTCATTATTTATTTAAGTAAATTTAGAATT